TGAAGTCAGTTAACATGAATTTACGAAGTATGAACAAAAAAATAACGTATCATGGATGCTTACCCGGCTTGAACACTAGCAGAACGTCAAACTGAATAAATTAATTCTAAATAAAAAAAATAACAACAGTATTGATCCTAACAAGGTGATTTTTAACTTTAATAATGTTTTATTTAGTGAACCCAGTAAAAATGCCCTAGCTAAGGGCCTAAAGTTTTGCTTACCTCTCCCTAAACTTAAATTCTCTGATTGCTTCTTTCCCTTACAGTACACTTATAACTATGAAACCTCAATTTAATTTCAACAGGAATGTTTCTCTGAACTTAGAGAGCTTTGTTAATCTAAAAAACAAGTTTCAAAAACGCTGGTTTGTCTTTATTTTACAACTACAACTTTCTTTAATCCGGTTCCACCATTACCCACGAATAATATTATTGCGTCAGCGAGGTCACGTGACTAGTGTCACGCCACGTTTCTAGAACTATCCTGTACCTTCGTGAATGCCCTAGCATTTACTAGATATATGTTAGTCTGGTATATATATAAGACGCTCACAACGTGACGGGCATAATGTATGTGTGTAGGTAATAAGTAATTGAACTGCAGTCAGAAAGTATTGTTGAAGTTAACGTCGTTGTTATAGCGTTGTTATAGAGCGACTGTTGAAAATAAGGGTATCGGTAAAATTATATTCAGAAAGAATAAACCAGTTTTATTAAGAAAGGACTTGTGTCGCTAAAGTTTCGTGGGAACGAAGTTACGGAAAATCAACTAACGAACGGAGACGTAACAAATTGGTGTCAGAGAGTGGGCCAAATAAAAAATGGAAATGAGAAGCGGCAAATCAAACTACAGCATAGCAGACTTGATTGCAGCAGTACAAGAACAGCAAAAGAAACAAGAAGAACGAGAAAATAAAGAAGAAAATAAACAAGAACGAGAAGAGAAATTACAGCAGTTGTTAGAGGAAAAAGAAAAGAAACAAGAAGAGAGACAACAGCAGTTGCAAGAAATCCTCCAAAAGTGGCAGCTCGAACAACAAAATAAACAAGAAGAACGAGAAAAGAAACAAGAAGACAAATTACAGCAGTGGCAACCGGAACAAGAAAGGAAACAGGAAGAAAGTCAGCAGCAACTACAGGAAAGTCAACAACAGTGGCAAGAAGTACAAATGGAAAACATTAGTAAATTTCAAAGCGAATTAGATCCAATAAAGGATGATATATTGTCTTTTACACAATGAGGATACATTAACCATCGACTTAATCAGCCCCAGACAATGGCAAGCACCTTCCAGAACCCGCAGCTAAACCCTAATACAGACATCTTCAGTCCTGTTAGAAGTCACGTCCCAGATATGAATGTCAGTAATAGGAGTGATCCAATACGAAGGAAGCCACAGGAATTCGATGGGAAGGCACCGTGGGAAGCATATAGGGCACAATTTGAGGTACTGGCAAAAATAAATGGGTGGACAGAGGAGCAGAAAGCAGTATATCTGGCAACGAGCTTGAAGGGACAACCACTGGAAATACTTGGACAGTTGTCAGCAGACGACAGGCACAAATATAGAGCTCTGGTAGCGGCTCTGGAACTCAGGTACAGAACTCAAAATCAGTCCGAAGTCTACAGGGCTAGATTGTCCGTGCTAAAGGGGAGAGCCTGCAAGAGCTGGCACAGGACTTGGAAAGTATGGCACACAAGGCCTACCCAACTGCACCACCCGACCTCCTCAAGTTGTTGATGAGAGATCAGTTTGAGACGCCTTGGACAGTCCACAACTAAAGATACAAGTGAAGCAAGCACACCCCTCTTCTATGCAGGATGCAATGGCCAGAGCT